TGTTCCCTTCTGTTGTGCCATAGCGCTGCTCTGAGTTGGAACCGACTGGTGGGCACTTAGCAGCCTTAATGTGAGGGAGCATGAGAGAGAGCCATTTAGAAGCACACCTGGTCTACTAAGATGCTTGGTTTATGACATTGAGAAATATGCTTGTCACAGCTACAAGGTAAGCCCCTGGTTTTCCTAATTTTTATCACATTGGGAAATTAAGACCCCCTGTCTCAAAAGAGTAACTTTACTGTGCATTGCCAACCTTTCGGTTTCACTTTAGTGCTGACGATCGATTTGTGGGTTTTCAGAATCTTTAGCTAGTCTGTAAAGATGTTTGCTTTCAGCTCTCCAGGGTGACCATGGAAGACTTTGTCTAGAAGATACAGAATCTGAAGTTCGAAGCAATGCACAAAGTGAATACTCTACTCACAGGTAAGGCTTGAGTGATTGCATTTTTTCCTAATTGTTATCATCTTAATTCCTCTAAGAAAAATTGAACATCACATCTCCAAAATAGGGTGCTGATCTGGGATTCAAAGACATGGGCTCTAAGTTATAGAACTTATGAAAAAGCAACGAGTCATTCTTGGCCTTGGATTAAAATAGGGGAAGACTTTTGCTTTTGACTTTTCTAGCTCAGAGAGTCTATAATTCGCTGATCCAAAACCCATCCCTGCATCATTCTGATAACTGTTTTCAAAAAATAAAAAACCCCAGGTAACTACTTTAAAATTAATACTCACTCATCAGGGATGCAATAGACTTTCAAGAAGGAGGTTTTTAATACAAAGTGATTTTAGTTGCCCCCTTTTCCCTTGGTCAATGAAAAACCAGGAAACAAATAAAAGACTAATCTCAGTTTACCCAGATGCACATTTCCTCAGATAGGGAGATTCAAACGATAACAAGACTAAATTCATCTAAGTCACCATAGCATTCTTCTCACCAAAAATGCTTTCAAAATACTATATTTCCACAACAATATTTAATATGCTACGAAAACCGAGAAATACTTCTGACTGTACATTTAGTACGAGAATGTGAACACATGAAACAAACATGTGATGTGACTGTATAGATGGCTCCCATTCCAGAGAGTCTCCTGATTGTCCCAAGCCCTCTTGATAAGAGAGTCATTTTCTTCATTAACTATTCTAGGAAGAAACAAAGTAATCTCATATATAAATGCTGTAAGACCTTACCATATCAATAAGCTTATACAGCATTTTAAAAAGGCAGTTAGAACTGCCCATCAGCACTGGGGAAAAATGCGTAGAGATCTATAATGATGAAAGCCAGAGATCCTCATGGAGGGTCTCCACTCTGCAACACACGGCATCCCGGAGGGATGGAGCCCATTTCACGGCAATGGGGAACACATGGCACATAACTTTGACCCAGATTACCACATGAAACCTCACAGTTCTTTGAGGGACATGTGACAATTCTGTATCCCAAGAAAATCCCAAGAAAATGTGCAGAGATTAAGTGCCTTGGTCAGAGCCATGGAGGTAGTCAGTGTCAAGACCGGGACTAGAACTCAGCCTCCTGATACAAATCCACTCATCTTTGTCCAGTACTTCTCCCGAGAGGGAGACACCATGAGATGGGGGGGATGGGAGTGAAGTAGAAATGTGGGCATTGCCAATAGGCTGAATTAAAACCTTGATTCTGCTCTCTGTATATTGTATGATATAAAGCAATTACATTAACTACTTGGACACTTTTGGTATCTTCCAAAATCAGGAAGACTATCAGATAACTAATACAGGGGCAACAATATATGTTAACGTATTAAGGGTCAAATGGCACATGACATTCTTTTTCTTTTTACGATTCTATATTTTAATCTGACAGCTAGGTTGCATACATGATGAAGAACAGTAATATAATGACAATTTAAAGGTAGGTAGGATTTTCTATAATGAGTCTTATATTTCAAACTGTAATATTAGCCTTCATTTTATTCTGTTTCACACATTTCTGTAAATGCCAGCTACCTACTATAAATGTTTTTTTTCTGGTCTTTTGAGTCAGTACCGAGTTAGATCTTTGAAGCACAAACTCATGCCACTTCCACTGTAATGTTTCTTTGATTCTGTGGTCTCCACATACACTCAGATGTGTGTACCTACATGCATTTATTATGTATGTCCTGTGGTGCAAGGCAACTCTGCTAGGGCAACACCTGCGAGGTCATGGAATTGACTCTATTCACCTTTTTCTTTGTTTTGGTCGGTAGTGCCTAGACATTTGTATTTTATGCACCACAACTATCATTAAAAGTGAAGATGGACTGAAATGTAAACCCTTCACCTAATTCACAATAAAAGATGTATTTAATAAGTGAAGACTGATATAAAGTTGCCAACTTTATGTTTACAAAATGATCTAACTGCCATTCTGTCACAAAAGAAATGACATTTCCATATCACAACCTATAGTCTCAGGATTTAAAAAGATGACTGAATTAGACATTGTAGAAAACAATTTTTAAAAATTTTGTTTTTAGCTAGATATGATGACTGTTCTGATTTTATCAATGGACGCTTGCAGAGGGCAATGCTTTTCCCAGGGTCGCACAGAGAGAGTTGGCCTCAATCCATGCAAGATTTGTCTCTAGCGCTCACTCAGACTTGCAGTCCCTTCCTTGCGACACGTGATTCTGAGATGAAGGACAGTTTGCTGTGACTCAGCAGGCCTGGATGACTTTTCTACTTGAACTCTGTGTTGGCCATGAGCCCGTTCCTTAGTCTCTTTGAGTTGCAACTGTTACAACTCTAAAAATGAGAATGAAAGCCCTTCTCTCTTTGGTTTTGGAGGATTAAATGGATAATGTATGTAAACTAGCTAGCAAAGGACCTGGGTTATAGAAGGGATTTAACGAATGCTAACTTAACATAGGGCCTTCTGTGATAAAACTGGCATTTTAATATTAAAACCATATCAAATATTAGTGATAGGATGAGAGCAAATAGATCATTGCTATGGTGGATAAAGGTGTACTATATTTACACAATTCCTTAGAGAGCCAGGGGAATTATCTTTGCTGCAGCCCTTATTTTAATCAATAGCATGGAGATCAAACTTCCAGCATAGGAAGAAGTTTATATTTGATTTATACCGCAGATGCACATTTGCAGCATCTAAACATTCCATTCCTGGGCTAAAGATGTAACAAGCTACTTCAGCAAACCTGAAATTGCAAAATAAATGGAAACTGCTTAATCATTTAAAAAGAAATACCAAAGGAATGAAAAGGCCAAAGCATGCACGTGTACTAGCGAGGAAAATTAACTGGAAGGACGCCTCCTCTACTTTTTTTTTAAGGCTGGTGAAAGGCTTCATTAAACAGGCCGGATTAAAACCCAAACAGTCCCTATGCAAAATTTCTGCAAATAAACATAGAAATAAAGTATACATATCTTTATATAACTGTATTTTTTAATAACCGTATTGTTCATTAGGAGAGCAATTTCCCCAGTAATTTGCAAAGTATGAATTATTTTTGTAAAATAATCTTAGGCCCCACATGTATATGAATATATGGGCTTGCATCTGTTTGTGTGGGCATGGAGAAGGTATGGAAGGTTCCTGTTAGGCCCTCATGTTGGGTCATGATGGGTTCTCCTGGAAGCCATTTAGGGGAGATTTTAGTTTCTTGGACACTGCAATAGGTAAGGTTTATTGTGCTAACCTGGCCAATGAACCCATGTGGGATTAATTGAAGGGTAGAGAGATGAGATAAATGGCTTGGTGAGCCTCGTCTCTCGTCTCTTGCTCTCTAATGGTCGGACCAGTCATGACTGCCTTAGCCAGTTCTCTGCCTCAGCTGGCAAGGCTCATTCCTGCAAGGCATCCCCAAGGAGAAGCCACATGGACCTACCCCGATGCAGCCCTGGCTGCTGGAACAGCTGTGTGGAGACCCCTGCCAGCACTGAGATGCTTACATTCACTGATTCGTCTTTCCTCCTGCAGTCGGCATCATTGTGCGTGTTTTGTGAGATTGAGGAGGACTTTGTAGATCAGTGTTGGACATTAGGGCTAATGTTGCATTTATGGGCTTGAATTGGACTGGGTTGGGATGCTTAATGTACAATTATCCTTTATGTAAAATTCTCTCATAAAATACAAATGTTTATGAATTTTGTTCCTCTAGTCCACCCAGAAGAACACAGACCTGTTTTGTGTTAATTTACCAGACACAACAAGCATATATTTCTTTGGAACAAAAGCATTTAGAAGGGGCAAAATATATTTCTTATTTTTAAGTTACTTAATCCATCATCGAATATTTGTAGAATATTTACAGGTGGTGATTTCAGTGAACTAACTGGTTTTCTCTCTGCATTGTCAGATCTTTTTCAGCAGTCTTCTGGCTAACTTGGGGTTTGTCTTGTGGAATTAGCACTGTTTCTGGGCTCTGGCCTAAGCCTCTTGGGGATTACTAGGGCATATTCACTTAAATATTTAGTGTTTCTTTCACCTCATTCTCTTTGAGATCTACAGTATTCGACCACAGGGATGGCCGAGAGAATCACAAGTTCCATTGCATTATGGGCAACCACTGACATGAATATGGAATGAAGAGTCAAAAGACCAGGGTTTGAGTCCTGGCTCTCTGACTCATGAAACAATTGATATTTGCTATTCACTTCCTTCTTTTTGAGCCTCAGTCTCTCTTCTCTTCTCCATTAATAACATCTCCCTGACAGCATGGCTGTAAAGCTCAAATGAGTCATTTATGGAAAGTCTTAATAAAATCCTAAGTGATAGATAAAAGTGTTTGATATTACTATTATTGAACCAAACCTTTGTGACTTTCGTTCCTAAAGAGCGTGCTATGGCATATTTCTCAAGGATTTCCAGATACCTACTTGAGCAGAACTATACTAAGCTTTAATGGCTCTTGGAAGATTTAGTTGCTTCTCAAAGTGCTGCATTAGGGCAAGTGTGATTTCTTTTTGATAATAATTGCAAAACCCATTTAGCCAAGAAGAATATCTGACCTGGTGTAGTCGTCTTCAACAAGCATGTGCTTTGGAATGGGTGAGTACCTTCCTGGAGAGATGGGTGGCAGGGAGGTTTTGTATTCTAAAGTGCCATTGTTTCCAGAGAGTAGATGGTTTTCCATTGGTGGAGAATAAGCTAAGGAGTAAAAGAGAAAAACAAGAAAGCTTTTAGATGGATGACTCAATGTGCAATGCTATAGCTCAGAGGATGTGTTAAAAATAGAAAGGTTTTGCTACATGCCAAGGATTTGCTGTCCTCCAAGTGAAGGGGATTGCTATTTGTTAATATTTAATACATACACGCACATGGTGGCCTTTGGGATAGGAAAGCCACAATAACGGTCACATCTGTAACCCCAGTAAGTATAATTAGATGACGAGAAGAATTGGAGGAGAGCTTCAGAACACAATATTTTGAGAATGATGATTAATTTTCTATTGAAATAAAATGTTAACTTTCTCATTGTAGACCTCACATTTTCTTCACATGATTAATATCCAATCATCCCAAACTCATAGGAGTGAGGTTTTCTGTTAGAGTTTCTCCTAAAATATGCTACCCTCCCAGAGGAATTTCTCCAAGAACTCTGGCCTTCCCTTTCCATACCCCACTCTAATCCAGACTCTGTTCCTGTCCTCTTTGACCTACTGAAATACTTCCTGAATGTGTAAGTTTGCCCTCACCTCCCTTGCCATAGTCTATTCTATACATTAAGCTGCATTAAGCCCTCCTGAAACCTGTTCTGCTCTCCTGCTTAAAGACCCTCCATTGCCATTTCTGTACTCGACTCTTCCTTTGCAAAACTGATCGCATCTCTGCGATGCGTTCATTCTGCTCCTCACGTAAAGCCTCTGCTTTTCTACCAGTTATCTTTGTTCCGTTACACTGACTGCTTAGAATTCCTATCTCCTTGGGCTAAGGTTGAAATCTCACCTTTCTTCATAATTTCCTCCAAATGTTACCTCTGCATAAAGATTTTTCAGATATTCCAAGTACCAGTGATGTTTCCTCCCCAGCAGCCCTCAGAGTACATTTATTTTTATCTCTCACGTGGCGGATGTCTCTCTCTTAAACTGCCACATATTGCTATTTATGTATTCAAATTGGTTTCAAACCAGTTCTCTGAAGGCCTTTACTGTGCCGTCTTTGGACCCCACACAATACCTTACAAAGTGCCTAGCCCCTATGGAGGCAACTCCATACATATTTGTTGCATTCATTAGAATGTTGCATTCATTAGAATGTTCTGACAATGATCTTTTATACCCTGTGTAAAGTGATTTAGAGAGTCTCAAAGTTGACTTTTATAAATTCATCAAGTTTGAATAGTTAAGGCTTTTATACCCTAAAGTAAGACGGATCTCAGCTTGCAGGCTCCTTGAAAAAGATGAATTTGGGGGCAAAGAGTTTTAGAGCCATCATTTAAAAGCAATAGCTAACTTAATGGACAGGTAGCAAAATCATTCCACCCTTAAATGCCTCTCAAGAGGAACATCAGAATCTGAAAGAGGTTAACTGACTTTCTTAAGAACCGCAGCACCCAGTAATGGCAGATCCTGAAGCACAGTGAGTTCTCAATCCCAGACCTGGAGTCTTCAGAATGAGCAAGCATACTGATGCTGGGAAAACTGCCCCTTACATTGAATTTTTAAAAATGAATTGCTTCTAAATTGAATCCCTAAAGTGGGAAGCTTAAAGTTTTTGTTTACCAATTAAGTGGACAAAACATGGGTTTATGCAGCAATAAACTTTAAGAGTACCCTGAAGATACTTAGCTTAGGCCCCTCCATTCTCAACCTACTTCTTTTCCCATAGTGACTGATAGTGTTTTCTGGCTTCTGTACCAAAATATCAAATTTAAGTAAAGGTGAGGACTATGCGAATCAAACACAAGATCCCCTTCTTCTGGAAGAAGTGTAGATCTATGCTGATCTAATTTATAATTTTAATCACCTAATTTATCATCTAATTGATCTATTTAAAAAAAAATAATTTTATTGGGGGCTCATACAACTGTTATCACTATCCATACAAACATCAATCGTGTAAAGCATATTTGTACATTCATTACCCTCATCATTCTGAAAACATTTCCTCTCCACTTAAGCCCCTGGCATCAGCTCCTCATTTTTCCCCTCCCTCCCAGCTCCCCCCTCCATCATGAACCCTTGATAATTTATAAATTATTTTGTCATATCTTACACTGTCCGGCGACTCCCTTTACCCACTTTTCTGTTGTCTGTCCCCCAGGGAGGAGATTATATGTAGATCCTTGTAATCGGTTTCCCCTTTCCACCCTTCCCCCTCCCCCTCCCAGTATCACCACTGGTCCTGAAGGGATCATGTACCCTGTGTTTCCATTCCTATCTGTACCAGTGTACAAATTGATCTCTTCTTAACTCCACTAAGTACACATCTTATTATACAGGAAGAGGATCTTATAGCATGAAAGCTATCAGCCTTAGGGATTTGATAAATTATTTTAAAATAAATTAACTCCAATACTAGTATAATCACATGGCTCCAATATATACCATATGCCTTTCCACACTGGTGGACCCTCCCCACCTTCCCAGTTTGTCTCTCTCCCAAACAAAGCTAAGAGTGCGAGAAGGCGACTGGGGTGGGGCGGGGAAGCAAAAGTTATTTCCACTAAAGTACTTCCTGAAACTGAACAAGGATGGAGATGCCAGCTAAGAACTTGGTAAGCACTTTTGCAGAATTTCAATTTTGAAAAGCAGGCATGCTGTAAGATGCCTCTGTGAGTGGTACTTACAGTGAGTAATATCAGGCGGACCATAAGGATCAGTCATATAAATTGTGGTGGGTTTGCCGACTTTTAGATAAACGACATCTGACGTGTTTTTCAAGATTGCTACTGCCTCTTCATGTGTTACTTCTTCTAAACTATAATTATTTACCTGAAAGAAAAATAAAAAGTCAATATTAGTATGAAATCCATGTAACTTAAGAGAAGTATTTAGGGAAGAATACATCTGTAATTATGTCCTTAAAGATTAAATTGCAATGATGACAGTCCAGTATTTATATGACATTTGGTAGCACATATGGGTTAAGGGCCCTAGCTCACACATGCATGGTACAGTCACTGATGCTGGACAGTAAGGCTGCTGCTTGTTCTGTTATGAGAAGGGCATACATTACAATGGGAATCAAGCATAAAAAAGAACATAAGGGTTGAATTTTTACATTTATTATCATAGTTATTTTTATTGCAGAGGTTAAATACATTAAAGAATGCTAGGAAAAAAGAGAAAGAAAATAGAAATCATCTGTAATCAGATACACATACATGCAAGGGGGCTCCAAAAAGTTCATGGAAGAATGGAATTACAAGATCATGGAAACTTTCCATGAACCCTTTGAAGCTCCCTTGCACACATTTCCTTCCCCAGGCCTGTGTAATTTTTCTTGCAAAATTGTGACCATGTCATACTCATTGTTTTGAAACCTGCTTTTAAAATCTGCATGATCGTTTGCCCGCTTCATTAATGTCCTTTGACATCATGACGTTTGTTACAAAAGCACTGGATTGCATGGCTCTCATAAGGATTTGGGCCTATCTCTTGCTAACACATATTCAGGGTGCTGCTAATTTTTCACTAACATAAATCATGATGCAGTGCACCCCTTTCCATATGTTTGTACAACTTTGATGATTTGCCCTGGATAGATTTGTGTAAGCATAACTGCTGGAAACATAAGAAGATCATTATTAAGGTTTTTGATGCCTCTCCCCAAAGTGCACTCTGCACACACACTGGTCGACGCTTAACCAGATGCCATGACAGATTCTATTTGCACACGGAATTCGTGTTTGACTTTGATCACTTTAGAAACCTCTGCTTGTCAAGGACGGTGTACTAATAATGTTGGAAAATAAGGCTCTCAGGTAAGCACGATCAAGAAGATCTTCTTGCAAAAGTCATTGTACTTATTTACTTGTTGAGAATATACACAGCAAACATACACAATTCAATAGTTTCTACACGTGGTGACATTGATTACACTTTTTGAGTAGTTTTTTCACAATTATAAATTCATTGTCTGCTAAACTTTTTATCTTATACCACCTATTGTCAACATGATCCCATATAAAGAGTTCTTAAAAGAGCATGATGCTCAAGGCAGATCTTTTTTACTTGTTAAGCTAAATTACTTCGTGCTTTTTTTTTTAACCATATTAAGAAGACCAGGGAATATTTTTGGTTTGAAATTTAAAGACGATCTCAGGAGGTAATGTTTTAAGTGTTTACTTAACCGTTCATGACTCCAGGAAGTCTGGAGGCCATGACAATTTTAAATTCTGTTCTGTATTTCTCCCCTCTTGATCAAAATTCTTCTATGGACTATTTGATCAAAATGTTCAGTAATGGTAGTTGGGCACCATCCTTTTCTTTTGGTCTCATGGTGAAGTAGATAGTTGTTCATGGGGCCAATTCGTCAAACATTCCACATCTTCCATTTATTCCTGGTCATACTTCTTTCTCTGTCGTCCAAGCATAGAGATTCAGGGCTAATTATTTTGCTGTGAATGGCCACTTTGCAAACTTTTGTTAGCCGAGAAGCACTAAATACTTTACCAGACCAATTAACTGAGGTGTCACCAGGAAATATGGACCTAAGACCTTCAAACCCAGGAACCAAATCCCATTAGATATTTGCAACATAAGCAACCTTAACAGTCACTCCTTTTTTTGATGGGTGGTGGTGGTTGGCCATTGAATACATATGTATAAACTTTAGCTAACTAAACCTTTTACAAGTGTATTACTGGCAGCAAACACAATACTGCCATTGATTTTAATACTTTCCTATTTTTACTGTAAAGAAAAGCCTGTGATACAAATGTAGCAATTACTTCTTGGCATTGACATTATAATAGTTCTCTGAAGCACTTTTCTAAGCTACATTTAAGGTAATACCTGCAGGGAATCATAAGAAATAAGAACAAATATTCAGAAAGAATATTAAAGATGAAGCCTTTTTGTCTACTACCTTCTTATGGAATGATTAAGGAGCTTCTGCTGAAATTATATAGAATTAAAGTAAATGTACCAAGAGTTTGGTTAGTTAAAACAAGTCAATCACAAAAGGACAAATATTGTTGGGGCACAAGATTATATCAAATCAAACCAAACTTACTGCGATCAAGTCAACTGACTCTGTAGGACAGAGTAGAAGTGCCCCTTTGGGTTTCTGTGTCTGAAACTCTGTACCAGAACAGAAAGCCTCAGCTTTCTCCCCCTGGGCAGCGAGTGGGTTCCAACTGCCGCCCTTGTGGTTAGCAGCCCAGCTGTAACCCACTCTGCCACTAGGCCTCCTGATGACTACACGAAAGGTAAGTCAGATGTTTACATGCAGAAAGTCACATTTTGATGGCCATCAGGGATGGGAGGAAAACAAAGTCACTAAATAGTAGACACATGCTAACTGTTTTTGTTTTTTTAATGGCAACATATAATAAAGGGGAGGTCAGTACCACACTACTAAGGTAAAGGAAGACACCGGGAGGTACACAAAAATAAAGGACAACAAGGATACATACTATCGTATACTTCATTCTGCAATAACAGTAACATAAATATTTAATAGATAACTAGGTGGACATGTATGGGGGGAGGTGAGATGCTTGCAGGCATCCTCCATAAAGACAGTCAGTCATCAGGGAGTAGGCCCCCCCACCCCCCCAGCTCCCTGCTGCTGGGGACAATGGATTACTTCTCCCTAAGGCTTGATACCATTAACTTGATTCCTGTAGGTGGGGTTTACACCCTACTGCTAATGGTTCCTATGGAGATCAAGAGAACAGATCAAACATGCTCAGTGAATCTAGGATCCACCCATCTTGTCACATGTGCACCCCCAATCTCTCCTCTTCCTATTGTGTATCTGTCCCTAGACCACCCCCTCTCATTGCTGTATAACCTATAGTTCAACTCTCTCCTCTTCCTATTGTGTGTCTGTCCCTAGACCACCCCCTCTCATTGCTGTATAACCTATAGTTCAACCCCTTCCTGTGACGTATGTCTCTACCTGTAATCAGTGGGCTTGCACGCCCCCAAAGGTATATAAGCCTGGGTTAGCAATAGAGGTCTCTCTCGCTGGTCTCTCCCCACCTCTCCCCTGCTCCCTCTCCTCCCCTGTTTCACTTTCCCCTTGTCCTCCTTCCCTTCCCCCTCCACATGGACCACCAAGCAAGGCTGAGGTGAGCATTGCTACCATGAAATGTGTCTGACTCCATTATTTGACTCTCTCTTATCTCTCATGTTCTCGATGATTTTAATATATATATATATATTGATATTTAATATATATATAGAGAGATTTAATATATATATATGTATATATATATCATACAATTGTGCTTACTGAACCCATGATTAGTGGTGGGAGGCTGGCCCCCCACCTCATACCGCAGACATGTAAGCTGAACAGATGAGGGAAGGTAAATGTGAATATACGCCCATGTGTATCTACATAGGCTTGGCAGAGAATGTTTATATGTGCTGGAAATATATCCAAGGACATTACAGAGCACAAAAGGGACAGAGTTCTGAAAGCTTCTTAGTCATGCCAAATGCCAAACACTATCAGGGAATGAGTCAGTGGGATTAGGGAATTAGGGCCACAGTCCTGGGGACATAAAGGTCAACTGGTATGACATAGTTCTCAAAAGCAATGCTTTGATGACTTGCAAGCAAGGTGTTAAAAGTTTGCAAGTGTCCCCCCACCTTCCATGAGGTAATTCTTGGTCTCTTCCTTTAAAGAAAAGAAGAAAGAAGCACAGAAGAGACTCAAGGAAACAACTAGTCCAAAGGCCTAATGGACGACATGAATCAGCCACCACTATCCTGAGACCAAAGAACTAGATAGTCATAGCACTCACTACCGATTGCTCAGATCAGGATAGTAATAGAAGGCCCTGCATAGAAAGGAAGAAGGAAAACGTAGGGAAAAATCAAACTCATAAAAGAGATCATAATTACTAGTCTGACGGAGAGAGGTGGAACCTCTAAGACTGTAGTGGCCTTAGACGCCCTTAGAGCCCAGAGCTCAGGGTCAACCTTGGGGATCAAGTTTAAGCTAAATGATGGACGGGGAGGACTCATAACATGAGGGAGGAATGCACCCTTCAGTGCAGTCAACCATGAGACCAAAAGGGAGAATTTCCTCAGAACCAGAACTCAGAAGGCAGGAAGGGCAGGAGAGAAGGACAAATGGAAACTGGGAACCCGGGGAGGAAGTAAGAAGCATGCCATTACACTGAGAGAACCGAAATAATGCCATGAAACAAGATGTGTATAAACCGTTGAATGGAAAACTAATTTTCTCTGTGAACTGTCACACAAACAATAGGCCTCTTGTCTCATTGTCTTATTGTGCCTCACTTTAACGTGCTTGGCAGATATTGAGTCTTTTTACACACTGAAGGTTTGTAGCAAGCCTGTGTTCAGCAAGTGCATCAATGCATGTGCTTGCTTCACATCTGTCTTGTATTCTTTTTTTCATTTCTTAAAAAAAATCTCAAATTTTTCATCATAGTATTATTACATACTTAATAGACCACCTGGGAGTATAAATCTAACTCTTGTATGCATTGGAAAACCAAAACATGCCTGTGATTCCCTTTCCTGACATATTCACTTTATTGTGGTCTGTGACTGAACTTTCAGTATCTCCAAGGAAAGTCCTGAGAGGAAGAATATACATACACATATATAATTAGACCCCTATACACATACATTCTCTGTGTTATCTAATTAGCACTTTAGTTACCCAAAACCTTGAAGCACTGCTTTAACACTTGCTTTTTGTTATATAAATTCCATGTGCGTGTCTGTCCTTGCTGGTGTACCACAACTTAAAAGCCCTGTAATTGAAGGAAATTGATCCTGAT